AATCTCTCCAGTTGTTCACGGTAGAGTCGAGAATTAATCGTCTGACCAACTGGAAGTACCTCATGGTGGACGATTCCCTTCTAGTCCCACCCCACACACAGCATCGCCTTTTTTAGCGTCGATCCTGGCTTCGCGAACGCTTGTGACGGCTCACCATCTTTTGTCCACGATCTTTGGCGCTTCCGATTGTCGTACGCGATCCATTTTTCATCGCCGGTCATGACACGTTTCAGAAATGGCGCGATTTCATTACGTTTCAGCAGCGTGTCACAGATGTTGATTCGATTCGTCGTGTTTTCCGCGCTCAACTCACGAGGAACCCAAACATCCAGCTTCCGTTTGTATCCAGTTTCGTGTAAACGGTTCGAAACAGTTTTGTGGTCAATGCCTAGCTCTATACCAACATCGACACTGCTAATATGCTTATCTTGCTGGACTTTTTCAACAATTTCATTAGCTTTTTCAGTAACTGGACGACCAGAGCGTGACTCGTCTTTCACATCAAAATTACCAGAACGCAAGCGAGCGAACCATTTCCGCGCAGCTGATTTTGATCATGTAACTTCACCATACGCAGCACGAATTTTTTCACAAGCCTGCGCAGCGTTCTTCCCTTTATCGTAACGATATTGTAAAATATAGCGAAATTTCTCGTTATTTCTCTCCATTTTCAAACGCCAACAACTTTCCAAGTACTGCACCACCACGAAGTTTATGCGCTCAAAATTACGTTCAACGTGTCACCTTTAAATGAAGCGTTCAGTGGTATCGTTGCAATAAATTGTTCGTGAGTTATTAACAATTGACGACGTCGATCGGGAAAACGCCACTATTCTCAGACCTAATATTAGTAGTACCAGAAGCCGGAAGCGTAAGGCATTTACCGTTCCTTATTTTCCAGTCGATTGGTGCCCGGAACCGCCGCCGGTGAACGGCGGAGTCGTTACCACTACTGGCCGACGAACTGGATCCACCGCCACTTACTCCTGCCAGAACGGCTTCATTTTGTTCGGCGACAACGTGAGCTATCTTACAAATTAACCCTTTGCACTCCGCTGTCCTCTCGCGTGGGACATCGTAATTCTAGCATATCACTCGGATGTCCCCTCTCGTGGGACATTAAAGTTTATTAGTGATTACGGGGAATCGAGTTATTTTAGCGCAACTTTTTGAGACGTGCATGTTTCCCTGAAGTTTTCTCTTGAAATGGCACAAGAGATCGAATCAAAATATAGTAAAATTACTAAGATATATACAAGAAATTTCAGCGGGTTTTGATGAGAACGCGAGAGGCGTGCTCACGACGGTCCGAGCACTTCAAAGGC